GAAAAAGGTCCCAGACCTTTTTATTTTGAATTGGTTTATGCGAATCGGGGATTGTATAAATCTCAATGGCATGCAAATGTTTTTTGTTATTATAGGGATGATACGGTCTCTAAAGAGTTTTCACATATATCAGAGACAAGTCTGCACCCACAACCGATAAGTGGTCTATTGTACTTTGTCCGTACAAGTAATTGGTTGCTGTCTTTGTTTTCCTCTCGGAATGTTTTCATAATTGTGTTTTAGAAGTTATTCTTGTCAATAATGTTTTCAGTTCAGAGTTCTGGTCCTGTTTAAATGCCAAATGATGAAAGAGACTTCGGTGGCTTGCATATATAACATTTAGCATGTACCGTCGTGTGTACAAGGCTTGTGTAAAACAAGGCGGGGGCAGGAGGGGAGGGAGGTAACACCGCACGCTGCATTGTTACACACGTACCCGACAACCGCAGAGGACGCTTTCCTACCGCACCGCAAAGCTCGCCCTTGCTATTTAATTACACTAAGTAAAAATAAACAGAAAACAATTTTATCACCAGATTTAAATATCAACTTTTCACGTAATTATAAATTGTATTAACTATAAATCATATACGAATAATATAGTTTTTAACAGATAAAAAAAAGAAATAATTTTAAGAAGTACTACGTCTTTGTTTTGAAAATCGACTTACCAGTACATTAGGTAATAAACCATTTTTTCCTTGTATTTTCATATAAATCTCGTTTAAACTTTAATAAGAACACCATGTGAATCGTAGTATGTAATTTATGGTAACAATGTATACCTCACATGTTATTATGTTAAGATGTATAGTTTGTGTGACCACATTATGGGGGCGTAACTTCGGACTCACCTTGCGGTCTCAGTTCCTACACATTATTTATGACCCGTGTCAAATCAACGCTGACTACTGTGAGGTATACGATGTAGTCTTTTGAAATATTTGACGTATGGTTAAAGTGTTTTATATTTTCTTAGAAATATTCAAACGAAGTGCCATTTACGTTTTTATATTCGCTAAAAATCCGGCTGTGGACGCTCCTTTTATGGTAATCTAATATAAAACATAACTTGCAATGTATGTAACAGCAGATCAGAATTATCATTTTATAGCCATTAAGTATGTTCTAAGTAATTAAATTGCATAGACATTGGACTCCGCGTAACAAATTTTTATTAACAAGTTACAGTAAGTAAAGTACATTGAAACAGAGTATTCGCTAGTCACACGGTAATCCGTACTAACGCGGTAATCCCTTGTATCCAGGCAACAGGGACGCGAGCAGGTACTGCTGGAGGGGGGCGTGCGGGGAGTGCTCGGGGGGAGGATAGGGAGTGCGATTCGATCAGGCCTGCATAAATCTACGCGATCCGGATCGAGAACAAAGCCGCAAGCCAGCAGAGCAATACTCCCCCTTCTACCGCACCCCGCGCCCGTCTGACGCGCCCCTCCATTGTGTCACATCGGTAAGCATTTTACGAAGAACGCTACTTCCTTTGTTGCTTTTCTGTGAACTTTTCAATTCATATTTCTGCTGTTATTTCTTGATTTGTTATTTTTATTCCTTTCTCCAATAGCTGTTCGTGGCCAGTTGCTCGAATGAATTTCAATATTGCATGTTAGAAAAATAATAGCCTTGTAATACTTCAGCATTATGAGTTCTCTTATGACAAAAGAAAACATTAATTTGTTTTGTATAACAAACATTACCTCATTATAATATTTTTATAAAATTCTAAAACATAGGGTTTTTATTTATGAATAACAGCCGGTAGCGGTATTTCATAGCATTTTTAAATTGATCCATATTTAAGCGAAATCGTAGAAAAGATGTGGAGCAGACATCGACTAAAGGCTAAGATTTAATTCACAGGATATCAGAATCTAATCGGAAAGCGACTTGATTACATGATACAAGCTATACGAGGGAGAAATGGCAATCTACAGGCGTCAGGTACCGTAATATCAAGATGGATTTGCTAACGCTTCCACTCAAGCTATCTCTTGTCAGATGCAATCGAGAAGCGAGAGTTTGAGGCGCCAATTATTATTCAAACGATATAAGTACCTTTACTGTTTTTATTTTGTTATCTTCAATCAAACGCCTTGTTTAAAAGTTCGCGAACAGAAAAATACAAAGTAAAAAGGAAGTAAAATAAAAAAGGCATGTTTATTTCGTTGATTGTTGGGGAAAAAGCTAAAGCATGTCGAGGAGCGCTATCGTGCAATCTGTTTCAGTTTAGGGCGTCTTAATAATTACAAGTGGCCATTTCTTCCAATTAAGAAAAGTCTCGGGCGATAAATTGCGAGGGGTGACGCACTTCCCGCGCCCGCCGCCGCGCCTGCCTCCGCCGACGACGCACGTAAACATGCCGCCACCGGTGCACGAACACCTCCGTACGATTTCGTTTTAATGGTTTAATAAAGCGGCCGGGCCGGGCGCCAGCGCAATAAATAAGTCGCATTTACACGCACCGCCGCTACCTTAATTAAAGTCGCGCGGGCACTTTCCGACATGAAACGAGCGAGGCGTATCGGAGAACAAACGCAAATTTATTCCGAGTGGAGTTTTTTCGGCATCTATTAAATAAAGAAGTCGAGGAGAATGCTAAACAAGGTCGAGCGGCCCTCGCCCTGCGAGTTTTCCACTCGAAGCGGTTTGAGAGCGGCGTGGGGCGGTGGGGTCGCGGGGGCGCTATTCACGGCGGCTTAGATAACGTAAGGAGGATGAAGAGGCGAGATGCGCGCCGTAATGAACCCGCTCTGAGCACTTTTTGTGCGGTTCGCCCGCTAAATTGAATATTAGACGCGATTTGGTAGCGAACGAACGGGCGGCCGGAATAACTCCGCGGTTATTATGTTACCTAAATGAGATTGTGGCGGCCCCGGCAGGCGCCGCTGCGCAATTATGTGTTCGTTAAACCGCCAGACTTTATACAGATTCCATTGTGAAAACTTTAAATCATTTCTTTCCTTCAACGATGAGCAGGAGCGTTCTACTAAATTACATTTACTACAAATAAAATGTTACTTCTATACTGTCGGTTAGCACTTTCGTGAATTTTTTTTAAATAAAAACGTACGAGAGTCGCAAAATAAATATTTGATATGACGAGTAAATAAAATACGGATTGAAAAAGTTGGACACACGCGGGCCAAATAAAATTGTGCTCAGCTGTAAAATAGAAATCTGAGAAGCGGACACGACGTGTCCGTAAATAAAATAACGGAATTACAACAGTGTTGAGTCTGCGTGATTCGCAACAAAAACATGGGTGCCGGACAAACGAGCGAGGCGAACGCCGCGTGCCGACTACAGTCGCGTCGCTCTGTAAACCTTATTACGGTGCCCTTCTGCTGCTTTATCGACTGGCAAGTCGATGCATTATCCAGCCAGCATCGGCAACTCCGTGACGCGACTGCTAACGATCCCGTATCGGGGTCACGCTGCAATTCTAGACATGTTACACGATGTTTCGAAACTATGTTTTGGTAAAAGTATTAAGTGGCAGGAGTTAACTGATGGCAATAGACATAACTGGCCTCTTTCGCTATATGTACAAATGATATTTGTAAAATAACACAATATAGAATACCACGTCAAAACAGAATTCTTAACAAATTTTCTTACTTTTGTATGAATAATATGAGTTATTTTAACAAAGCTTTCAACGAATGAATATAGTACGTAAGAGCATTGTCAGAGAGAGGAGTGATTGCAGGGGCGGATGCAAATATCGCTGTGTCACGTCACACGGCAGCACAGTTCAGATATTACGCGTCAAAGTGACAAAAGCAGGGGGCGCGAAAGTTCGCGAAGTAGGTTAGTCAACAAACTGTTAGAAGGTGTGCGGTATCGATTCCCGTGCATGCCGGTTGCCGGCTGCACTTCACTGTAGGGCTGTTACAAACCTCTCTAGTAACAATCAGAATTTTAATTAAAATTAATTAACGAGTCTTACCTACTGAGTTATATTATGTCGTTATTTATGTTATAGTTTCCTTAAGGGCTAATATTTAAGGGTTAAATTAAGAAAATATAAACGTCAAATTCAATTTATATTATAGGCAGAACTAGTAAGGTAACCCCAAAGCATAAAGCACAATTATCTAAAGAGGGACTACCAAAATCTTCGCAATCACCCCAATTGCTTAATGTAATCCAGTTGCACGTTGCATTACACTTAATAAAAATTCACTCCCTCTCGAAATACTTGAAATCCCGTGAGGCATGTCGGGAATAAACTTGTCAATGTGGATCAACCCTGACGCGCTGCGTGCAGTGGAGCGGCAAGGGTGGTACGACCTCACCCCACCGCCGACACCTCGCTAACGTATGCCGCTGCACTTCACGCTAGGGTTGACAAATCATATGTTTTTTGTCTTTTTTTAGTAGTGTCATGGGAGAAATTTTATGAACTTGATTTATAAGTATTGTAGCAACTTATATTTCCTAAATATAGGTAGGATACAAATAGTAGTACGCAATTGGCATAATGGAATTCAAAGTAAAACTAGTTTTAAAAAATGTCTTTAAAAAGATAGTCAGGTTTTAAACATAGGTAATTTATATATCAATCCATTTTCATATAAGTCTCGATGCTCGAATTTTTTTAATGTATTTTTTTATAAATTATTGTCAACCCTAGGCGTGGAGCGCGTCAGTGGCAACCGCCCTCTTGTTTCAGGCGGTGCGGTGTTATGAAATCAACGTGTTCGAGCGACACTCGAGATTCGCGTTCTCGAATAGAAATTCTTGCATATGTGCCTGAATTTTTGCAAAGCGAAATGCGGCCAAATATTTTACCCCGTTTCAATAATAAATTGCTGCACATTACGAACATCGCTTATGTATTCAGATGGTACAGTTTGTATTTCACCTAGATAGCATATTCTGCGTAATAAACAATAAATTGACAAGCAATTTTTTATGTTACACGAACGATACTGCACGATGAACAACATTTTTAAATAATATAATAATTACAATATACTTACATGTCTTTCTTCCGCTGAACTGATACCTGAAATTTAGAGAAAATTGATTATGAGTATAGGTGAGTGCAAAATAATTAAATAAATAGGTAATATAAGATTCAAATAAGAATGTTTTACATTCATTTTTCTTTTAACTAATGTAATTTAAATGTGATACGGATTGTATTAACGAAATACTTAGATGCCGTCAAGTTCACGATACTATACGACGTATAATATGGTAACACAAGTACATGTATAAAGGTTCAGGTGCGGCTGTAAAGTGGTACATGAATATTGCAGCAGCTGTCGGTGCGGGTGTACGCGCCCCCGTCTATCAAACGATACCTCAATTATGTATCAAACTTATCCGTTCTATTTATGTTATTTGAAAGTGTCACGGAATTGGTTATCGAATTTATACTCAATCTATGCGCCGAGACAGTTTTATAAATAGATTTCTACATGTTTAACTAAATGAAATATACATTGTTGGAAAAGGCAAATAAGGAGAAAGACTACTTTATCATGGACTGCGAGATATTAATACAAAATTAGGTAATCAATTAAGCTCTAGAATCACAATAAAACATATACAATACTAGTTATTGCTTGCGAATTCGCCCGCGTGAAATAAAAAAAATATATAGCCTATGTTACTCGTAGATTTTAATTTACCTTTCTAATGGTAAAAGAATTTTTGAAATCATACAAAAATCCAAAAATACAAATCTTTCCTCTTTATAATATCAGTATACATAACATAATATGTCGATTTGTGTGAGGTCGTCTTCCTCTCTATTGACACTATTAAATTTAAACACCAATAATCAATTACCGCAAGATGGCGCTGTACTCCTCGACCACTGCCACCCAATTAAATACGTCTAATATTCACGTTTGTGTACAAAGTGCCGCATTATGCTATTTGTGTGCTTATGCCGAGTTATTTATGCATGCATTTGTCAGAGAATTATGTCTTGCATAAATGAGTTGAAACGACATAATTACTTTCTAATGTTATTTACAATTATGACTGCAGATACACTTATCACTGGGTATTAATAAAATACTATATACATTTTTTTAAGTTAGTCATTATTATTTTTACTTTTAATAAGTTTTATGTCAGATAATCAACTCTAATAAAAAAAATGATGCTTCCCTAAAAAAATATTTACC